GCTGGCTGAGGAATTCTGGGAGTTGAAGTCCACAAGTCTTAAAGCTGCCAAGGTTGGACACCCCTGCCTTAAACTATGACACAAGTTTCCAAGAAAAGATTAGGCACTGATCATTAAAATTCAATTAAAATTTAGTTAACCTACCACCACAAAATTGCTCCAGATTATGGCAGACTGCTCACATCCAGAATGTTTAAATAAATAGAAAAAAAAATAGAGGGTGAGGGGAAACAAAATTTTACTTCATTTTCGCTGGGCTGGGGCCCGAGCTTTATTTTAAATCAAAAGTGTGACAATTTCCCCAGGTTTGAAAATTAAAAAAAAAAAAGTGTGAGGGGGGAAGTGGAAAGAAAAAAGCCCCAAATATTAGCTCGGGTTCTCTTGACTTTGTATGAACAATAAGACACCAGACTCCAAAACTCTCTTGCTTTTAGAGTTTTTAACTTTGCACGCCGCCCAAGGAAATCACCCTTCTTTGCCAAATATTGATCTCTTTTAGAAAGGGAAAAAAAAAGTGTTTTTTTTATATCTAAGAGGTTTAAAGTCACATGCATACACGTATTTCGCTGACCGAGCGTTGTGACGTTCGAACCTGTATGAATTCATAGCCTACCCATTGCAGAGATCCAGTTTTTTTTAAAAAAAGGGGGTTTATCTCATTTAGGATCAGAGTCAATGTGCCCCATTTAGCAAACCCCCCCCCCAAAAAAAAACACAATTGCACAGACCCCTCTAACTTTATGCTCCCAATTTCACATCAGTTGTGTTTTGTTTTTGTTTTTAAAAAGAGAAATGTTTCTGGCAGTGGTCCAGCTCAAGATTTGGGAGGTTTCCGATTGGGAGCAGTATGGTTGAGTCTCTCTCCCTACAACTTTTGCCAGTGTGTCACACACACTTCCCCTTCTGTTTTATTATTTTTTTTGGGGGGGGGTTTAAAAAAAATTGCTCCCAAGTTTTCTTACCGGAGACCGAAAAGATGCTGTCAGTTGTAGCAGGAACAGCAGCAGCAGCCGAAGCGCAGGAGGCATGGTGTGGCAGAGCCTTCGATCTCTCACCGAGGTTCCTGCAGTTCCCCACTCCCCCCCAAAAAAAAATGCAGGACGAAGGGGACACGGACTGGACACGGCTGAGTCCCCGCCTGCCGAGTTATAAAGCCCCCACCCCCCTCCCCAGAGCCCACCAGCACTCCCCCGCCTTTCCCAGGGCTGGTCACTGCACTCTTCTCCAAGGTGTTCACAGCACATGGGCCGGCAACAGCTGGAGGACAAGCCACGCCCCCCCCCCTCAGGGAGGGGAGAGTCCCACCCACCCTCACCCACCCCCTTTTGCAGATCCGAGGCTGAAGTTGGGCCGGAGGGAAGCTGCCACACGAGAGGAGGCAGGGTTGCATTGGTGGCCAGAGGGTAGCTTTCATCGCTGGAGGCTTTTGTTTTTTTTAAAGAAGAAACAAGTCACTTATCTAAAACGGTAGAGGAGGGGGGGGGGCTGGACTAGAAGACCTCCGAGGCCCCATCCAGCTCTATTCTGATTGAATGATTACATCAGAAAAATCTTGGCCTCCGGGAATTTTGCAAAGCTCCAACTCCAGAGGGCTTGAAGGAGTACCGGTAGTCCTTAGGGGACTTAACCACCACAACGGAGCCCCCCATTTTTGTTGTGGCTTAAGGGAAACGCCATTCATTTTTGTGGCGGAGCGAGCGTAACTGCATTGAGTGAGTTTTGTTCCATTTTAGGACGGTCTTGCCACGGTTGGTGAGTGAATCAACTGGCAGTTGTCAAGTTACTAACCGAAGGTCACAAAAAAAGGGAATCGCGCGGCCATGGGGACGCTGCAACGGCCGTAAGTGTGAAAAACAGTCATAAGTGGCTTTTTCGGGGCCACCGTAATTCTGGGAGTTACTAAAAGGTTGTGAAACGCTGTGGGGGGAACATCTTGTTTTGCAGGTCCACTTCTCTCCAAGGAGCCACAAGCATGTTCAGATCTTCCTTCCTTGCCCAATCTCTCTTCTCAACACCCCCAAGCAGCCGCCTCTACTGCTCCCCACCAACACCATCTCTTACTCGTTGACTTTCGGTTGCACGCCAGGGAAGAGCAAACAGGCAGGGGACACACACACACACACACACACGCAGCAGCCCAGGTTGGGGCAGGGATATTTGTGAGAACAAAATGTGCTGCCGCCAGCCCCTTTAGTGACCGAGCACGGGTTAAGCTTTAACCACTGAATCCACAGCTCCTCCTGAAGTGACCCTCTAGAACGCCAGCTGCTGACCCAAACTGTGGGCGTTCTGGATTCGAGACTCGGAACGGGGCCACGTTTAATTGAGCAAGGGGCAAAAACTGAGCGTACGGTAGCTTGGGAAACGGACACCGCTCTCTGCTGGATGGAAATCGCACCGGGATCGGATGGTTGCAGGAACTGGGTGCGTGTCTAATTGAAAGGAGGAATAGGGGTGATGCGACAGTCTTCCAATATCTAAGGGGTTGCCACAAAGAGGAGGAATAGAATATGGAGAATAGAATAGAATGGAGTGGAATAGAATAGAATGTGGAGAATAGAATAGAGAATAGAATATAGAATATAGAATAGAATAGAATAGAATAGAATAGAATGAATAAGGAATAGAATAGAATAGAATAGAATAGAATAGAATAGAATAGAAAATAGAATAGGAAAGAATAGAATAGAAAATAGAATAGAATCGGAGTAGAGTAGAATAGAATAGAAGAATAGAGAATAGAATAGAATAGAATAAGGAATAGAATAGAATAGAATAGAATAGAATAGAATAGAATATAGAATAGAATATAGAATAGAATAGAATATAGAATAGAATAGAATATAGAATAGAATAGAATATAGAATAGAATAGAATGAATAAGGAATAGAATAGAATAGAATATAGAATAGAATATAGAATAGAGAATAGAATAGGAATAGAATAGAATATAGAATATAGAATAGAATGTAGAATAGAATATAGAATAGAATATAGAATAGAATAGAATAGAGAATAGAGAATAGAAAATAGAATAGAATATAGAATAGAATAGAATAGAATAGAATAGAATAGAATAGAATAGAATAGAATAGAGAATAGAATAGAACAGGAGCTGGAAGGGACCTTGGAGGTCTTCTAGTCCAACCCCCTGCCTAGGCAGGAAACCCTCCACCAGACAAATGGTTATCCAACACCTTTTTAAAAACTTCCAGTGTTCCCCTGATTGACAGGAGAAGAAGGGAGGGAGCGAAGCTCATCCCGTAGAAAAGCCACCTGGAATGAACAGAAATTTCCCAACAGCGAGAAGAATTAATCAGTGGAACGACTTGCCTCCAGAAAGGTGTGAGTGGCTCCATCGCTGGAGCCTTTTAAGAAGAGACTAGACAACGATTGGCCTGAATTGATTTAGGATTTCCTAAAAAAGTGGGTTGTACTAGAACACTGTAACTTCAAACGGTCACTGAAAGAATCGTTGTAACTTGTGGGCTGCTGTAAAGAAATCACTAACAGACCCACCTCGAAAACACCCATTTCAGTATATGGAACTCCAGCCTTGGTAAGGCCCTGGTTGTAAAAAGATATTCATAGCGCTGGGGAAAAAAGGGGGGATTGGATACTTCCAATAATTCCTTGGTGGCCACTGTTATCCACAAAGAAGCACTGAGGATGCAGAGTTCCCCAAGTGGGGATAGTTGCATCTTGGGGCTTCTTAAAAAAAAATAACCAGGCCTGCATCCAAATTCATAGACATGGCTCCCATTCTCTCGAAGGACAGGGGATGAGGAAACACCCGATCGCAAGGTCAGAAAAGGACGTATTTTCAAAAGGTGACATGTAAAATTCAAACCAGTATGTTTAATGGACTTTCCCAGAATCCAATCGATAAGCCTCTCGTGGCTGGGCGAAAAGGCCTTCCAGCCAGCCCCACGGAGCGTGGAGCGAAAGGTACTCGGGTTATACGTGGAGACGCAGGGCCAACTTTCAAGGCTCTGTGGGAGCTGACCAGAGGTGGCAACTAAAGAGTTGAGCAAAAGGGGAGAGTTGCGTGTGAAAGTAGCGTATACCTTCACAGCCTGGAGTTGGTGACGCAGTTTGCGGTTTCTCTCCCGGTTCCTCTGGGCCGGTTCGCGTTAAGGCTGGTTGGGGAAACTCACTTTGGGTGGGGAGGAACCCAAAGGAGGAGAAGTTAGGACAACTTTAACAACGGCCCATTCCTGTCCCGTTACTAGTTTTAGGGATGACGACAGCCACTGCCAAGGTGAGAACTTCAGCACTTCAAGATCTTCTGCTCAAAGAGATTTCTTCTCCGTAGTCCTCATGCCAGCTGCCACTTCAGGCTTGTCTTTTGCTATCGCTCAGTGCCAGGCTGGCATGAACTCTTGGGCGTGGGTGGGTGGAAACTGCATGGGAGGAGGCAGGATTCAAGGAAAATGAAAAGTTGACCGTATCTCCCCCAGGACACGGTTTCAAGGCCGACTGGGTGGGGAACGGAATACAGCTGCATATCAAAGCGTCCGTTCTGAAAATATCTTCTTTGAATTTGACTGGACACTGGTGTGTGTGTGTGTGTGTGTGTGTGTGTGTGTGCGAGCAAGGGGATGTACCTAAAGGGAGGAAAGTTAGACTTGGGAATTATGGCACCCAATTTTCAGTTGTGGCTTTAGCACTGCTGCAGTTTAGACTTGACATCTAGTGAACTATACCTTTGTAAACGAACGGAGTTAAGGATTGTTCTTTCTTAGAAGGTCAAGTTGAGGCAGCTCTGACATTAAGCCAGCCTTAGTCTTAGTCTAGTCCCTGGAAACTCAACCTTTATCTGGATTTCGGCCAAGTGGGGAAACTTCATCCAACCCAGAAGACCAGGAAGGTCCATGGCCATAGTCAATCCCCTTCCAACTGCTCTATCCCCACCCTTTCAAGAGGCTTGTTATGGGACTCAGTCAAGTTGACAGTCTCCCGGAGCGGACCGGAACCCGAGGCAGGCAGGGTGCTGTTTTTGGGCTTGTAAACAAAATTGACGCTGCCCCCTCTTTGGAGGAGGTCTGCACGGACCTTCTGCGGGCAGCTGTCCTCCGTCAAGAGTTGAGTGGAGCTGTTCGATACCGAGAAAAGGCCATAGGCGGCACCGTCAGAGACGCCATACTTCTCTGCGCAGGCTGCACAGACCAACGCCGTGGTCATGTTGGGCGGAACGGAGATGGTCTTCTGGTTGTTGAAGGGTTCGTGGAAGGAGACGTAGAGGGTGTGCTGAAAAGAAGGAAGAGACCCAATGACCACGGAGACCGTAGCGTTCCCAGCGATGGACTCAAACCTACCAGGAAGCCATCGTGCAATGACCAGAGTTTGTGGGAAAGGGTCAAATGCCACGAATGGTGGAAAGAAAGAGAAGGAGAGCAGGAGATGGAAGGACCCTCTTCCACTGGGGGCCATAGGGAACATCTGTCTGCAGTGGCGCCACAGTACTCAACTGCTTTCAAACTGGTCAAGTTGGGACACAAAGCTATTGTCCCAGTTCAGGATAGACCTCAAACTACAACGTTCGTTTAGTGACTGATCAGGGTTACAATGGCACTGAAAAAAGTAACTTAGGACCAGTTTTCACACTTAACAACCGTTGCAGCATCTCCGTGGTGACATGATTGAAATTCAGATGCTTTGCAACTGACTCATCTTTAGGACGGTCGTGGTGTCCCAGGGTCAATGATCCCCTTTTGCGATCTTCTGACGAGCAAAGTCAATGGGGAAGCCAGATTCACTTTAATGACCGTGTGTCACTAACTGGAGAACTGCAGTGGTTCACTTCACAGCTGTTGCAAACGAAGTCGTAAAACGGGGCAAAATTCACTTAATGAATGTCTCCTTCAGCAACAGGGTTTTCCAATCCTGGGAGTTGACGTCCACATCTCTTAAAAACTGCCCCAAGCTTGAGTAACACCGATCTAAACCATGATTAGAATGACACCAACTAAAGGACCTACTCCACGGGAGACAAGGGTCAAAAGAGGAAAGCAGGCGGCTGCTTTACCAGGGTTTGGCCAGGATCTTTTGCTCTGCCCCTTTCCGCCGTCCACGCTCACCTGCAAGTTGCGGCGATGGTGGTGATGGATGGTACGGCGGCGATGCCACTGATGGATGGAGCGCTGGGCCTCCACGCTGATCTGCCTGGTGATGGTAAAAGCCGCTCGGAAGTTTTCAATGTGGTAGAGGGCCCCGAACCAGGTGGTGAGGTAGTAGCCCCCTAGAACCCAGGAGGAGGGGAAGGGAGGACAGGAACGCGGGAACACAAAGAAAGGTTTCGGGGGGGAAAAAGTCAGAGTGACAGTTAAGGTTTCCGAAGGACCTTTTGCAAGACCAAGTCAACCCCCAGAATCCAGTTGGGTCTCGTGAGTTTCTTGTCCTCCTCTCTCGTCTGTCAAGGGAACTACAGGGCGACCACAGTGCACTTCACTGGGCCACAGGGCACCGTAAGTAACCCCAAGGCTTCTAGTACGGAAAGTACAATCTTAATTTCATTGCTCAATTTTTAACCCGTTTTTATTATTTCAAATAATTGAAGGGGCAATGATTGAAGAGGCAATTACCATATATACTCGAGTATAAGTCGACCCGAATATAAGCCGAGGCACCTAATTTTACACAAAAAACTGGGAAAACTTATTGACTCGAGTATAAGCCGAGGGTGGGAAATGCAGCAGCTACTGGTAAATTTCAAAAATAAAAATAATTAATTTGGGAAACGATCTCACTATCATGAAAGGTTTAATTGATTCACTAACCCAAAAGAAGAAGATGATGATGACAGCGGGAGGCAGGAGTCACTCTCTTCCCCTCCCTCGGAGGCCCCCTGAGTCAGGAGTCACTACCGACGGCGCGGCCCCAGTCCCGCCGCCTCGGGAAGGGAAAGGCAAAGCGCTTTTTGCCTTTCCCTTCCCGGCTGGGGCTGTTGGGAGTCGCTGCCGCCGGAGGCCGCGACTCCACACCATTTTTTTTTTCAGAGGGAAATCTGACTCGAGTATAAGCCGAGGGGGATTTTTTCAGCACAAAAATTGGGCTGAAAAACTAGGCTTATACTCGAGTATATACAGTACCCTCCTATTTTTCCCACAACAACAACCCTGTGCGGTAGGTTTGGCTGAGAGGCTGAGAGACTGGCCCAAAGTCATCCTCCCAGTTTTCATGCCTAAGACAGGACTAGAACTCACCATCTCCTGGTGATTGGCCCAAAGTCACCCAGCTGGCTTTCATGCCTAAGATGGGACTAGAACTCCCTGTCTTCTGATGATCAGCCCAGCCAATTTTCAGTTTAAGGCAGGACTAGAACTCACCGTCTCCTGGTGATTGGCCCAAAGTCACCCAGCTGGCTGTCATGTCCAGGGCAGGGCTAGAACTCATCACCTCCTGGTAATTGACCAGGACTTTCATTCCACATTGAGTGTTAGCAAGAACTTAAAACTGATCTCCTCATGGCTGGTGGAAGAAAACTCTTTCTTGGAAAGAAATCCGGCTTGAACCCCGCAAACCCCGCTACCTTCTCCCTGAAGCTGGCTGGGATCCATCAGTTCCATCATGTACTCCACGTCCAACTGTACGGACACCACATCGCAGCGCACCAGCATGTAGATAAGAACCGGCAGGAAGTCATCGGCACCAAACGGCTCTTTGAAAAATAGGGGGGGGGGGGGAGGCATATTATGGGGAGGGACAGCAGACGTCTGAAGCAGCTCGGGGACGAAAGGAGGGGACCGAGGCTACTTGGCAATATATATCTGTATATTTATTTAATTCGCTCAACGACTGTGGCATGCCATGTTGTGAAATCTGGCAAAAAGCTCACTCAGCAACAGAAATCCTGGGCCCGATTGGGGTTGTAAGTCGAGGACTACCAATACTGTAACCTTCCCCCCCCCCCCCCCCCCCCCCCCCCCGTAGAAATGCCTTCCATGGTCCCAGAGATCGAAACAATGGAACTGAAAAGTAACCCAGCCAGAGGCCTCCTACCTGCCTTCTCGCAGTGGAGGTTCATGGCCTCGTACAGCATCTTGCAGACCTTCAGCATCTGGGTCTCCTTCTTCTTGGGCGAGTAGGCCTGGTGCAGGAGGCTCAGCTTGGCCTGGATACGCTCCAGGCAAGGCCCGTCGGGCACCCCGGCTGCCACTCCGAGCTCTTCCAAGCTTTGCTGGCTCAAAGTCAGCTGATTTCCACGCAAACGGTGCAGAGACCCGTCCTCGGTGTGGAAGTCCAGCAACTGAGCGTAAACCGTATCCCTCAGCGGCTTCAGGATGCATTTGCAAAGGGCGTCTTCCACCACGGAACCTGGCCCACAAGAAGAAGAACCGAGTTGGAAGGGACCTTGGAGTCGAAACCCTGTAACATTTCAGACCAATGCTTCCCCAATCTCTTCTTGAACACCTCCAGGGTTGGGACACCCACAAATTCTGGGGGCAACCATTTTTCAAAATCATGACCGTTGGCTGAAAATCAGTTTCTACCCGTGGGCTGTCAGGCTCCTGAACGGAAAATAACTTCATGTCAACATAGTAGGATAGACTTGCAGGGCCGGTGCGTTGTGCAACAAGGTCACATAGTGTAATAAGATTGGGACTGGGCTAAGGACTCCTGTCCTCACTGTGAGTTGTGTTGGGTGTGTGTGTGTGTGTGTGCACGAAGGGAGGCTCAGCCAATCTCATTGTACGCATGTTGTACTCTGACAATAACGGTAATAATAATCAGCAAGTCCTTCCACTGATTAATTGTCCTGTCAGGAAATTCCTCCTTATTTCTAAGTTGCTTCTCTCCTTGATTGGTTTCCATCCGTTGCTTCTTGTCCTGCCTTCAGAGGCTTTGAAGAATAGCTTGACTCCCTCTTCTTTGGGGCAGCCCCTGAGATATTGGAAGACTGCAGTCAAGCCACCCCCCCCCTAGTCCTTTCGCTCATTAAACTAGACACACCCAATCCCTGCAACCATTCTTTGTGTGTTTTAACTGCCAGTACCCCAAGGTCAAGATAATGACCTTAGAGCCAGGATCCTTTGGTCTTAGGGACTAGCATCTTAAGCAATAGCTATAAGCCAGCTCTCCTCAATTTAGCTCGTGTTGTCCCAGATGGAGCAACCTTTTGGCCTACAAAGGTAGCAGTTAACATCTCCGGAAGGTTGAGAGCAACGAAGTGGATAGGGCCCCATCGCATGGGTGGATAGGACTGAAGTTTCCTATATTTTGAGCAAGTTGTCTTGCTTTTCCAATGTTGGTATGCTGATTTGATGTTCTTCATTGCCATTCTAATACACAGGTTGCTCAGCCCTACCTTGGTGTAGTGTAGTCCAATATTTCTCAGTCTTGTCAACTTTTAAGACGGGCGGACTGCAATTCCCAGAATTCCCCAGCCAGCCGGCTGGGGAATTCTGGGAGTTGCAGTCCGCCCCTCTTTAAATCGCCAAAGTTGAGAAATCCAGTGGAGAGCGTTAATTCAATTTGCAAATCACAGATATTTTAGCTTGGGGCCACGTGGGAATCCAACCACTGACGTGTCTTCAAGACATTACTTATCAAACCAATCCTGGCTTATGCAGAGGTGGGCCACCATCCATCAACCTGCCTCTTTTGAGCTGCAAAGGACTGAGCCTACACCCTCCTTCGCGCCAATCCTGGGTTCAAGGGCTGCCGAGTTAAGAAAGCTTCCCACCCTTTGACCAGCTGCTTTGGAGACTTACCAGAAGATAAACCTGTTTGGGTAAACATCACCTGAAAACCTTGTGGGAAACTAAAGACAGGAAAACCACCCAGGATTATCTGTCCTTAGAAAAAGATCTTAAAGCTGGAATTTAATTTTCAGCCAAAGCCTCTTCCAAATTTTGCACAAAAGCCTCGGAGGCGCAGGTGAGCTCAAAAGCTTCCCTTTTTTAAAAAATTGCCTCTTTAAGGTAGCTCTCTTGGGGTCTTGGTGCCTTCTGAGCTTGGTGAACTCCTTGCAGACATTTCGTGACCCAACTAGGTAACGTCATCAGTGCTAGAAGGGCTTGCTGTCTATTTCTCTTCAACTGGCTTGCTCTGTCAGTGTTGGTGAGTTCTTGGTGGTTCCTTGATTGAGCCTGTTGTTTACTCTTTGACTGGTTGTCTTCGGGCACTGAAGATGTTCCCTAGTTGGGTCATGAAATGTCTGCAAGAATTTCAACCTGAACTACAAAACTTCTCTTCAGTGCTAGAAGGGAATGGTCAGCTGTGGGTCCTTGGGACTCTCTGTTTCCTTGCCAATGTTTCATGACCCAGCTAGGTAACACCATCAGTGCTAATAAGAGAGTGAGGGTTGGCCTTTTTTTTTTTTTTTTAAACAAACCCCACTCCCTTCTATCACATAGATGTTACCTAGTTGGGTCATGAAACACCTCCAAGCCCAGAGAGAGCAGCAGGGGCCCCTCATTTCAACCCTGAGCTACAAATATTCTCTCCTTTATTGGTTTCTGGTTTTTTTTTCCCCCTCCACCCCGTCATATCCACCGCCCCAAACCTCTCCTTCAACTGTCAAAAGCCACACACGACGCTGCCTGCATCACAAACCTGACCACAGATCAGGTTGATTTCCTAAGCTGTCAGCAGACGCTGTCGTAAACCTGCCCGGAGCCCAGAGTGGAAACCGCAGAAATATTTTCAGTTCTTCGGAGGTAGGGCAACAGATATTTGTGATCGCTTTTCTGGGAAACAAGACTTGAGGGGTGGGCTCCCTGGGAGTCGTTGCAGACAGAGCAGCTGCTAGAGAAACTTTGCCCGACCCCGAGAAGAAGAGTTATTTTTTAGCTCAGGGTTGAACCCCTGTAGAACAGGGTTGGTTCAGTCGAGCACGGAGGTTGTTGCTTCGTTTAGAAATGAAACATCTGCAAGGAAATCGCCAAGCTCAGAGGGCACCACGGATACAACCGTCCTTCTCCTCCCTCCTCTCTCCCCATTCCCTCCTAGCACTGAGGATGCTGCCTAGCTGGGTCATGAAATGTCTGCAATGAGTTCACCAAGCTCAGAGGGCCCCAAGGACCCCGCAGTCCTCTTCCTCCTCCTCCTCTGTCCCCGTTCCCTCCTAGCACGGATGATGTTCCCTAGTTTGGTCATGAAATGTCTGCAAGAAAATAACCAAGCTCAGAGGGCACCAAGGACCCCACAGTCTTCCTTCTCTTCCTCCTCCTTCTCTTCCTCCTCCTCCTCTCTGCAAGCCCCCAACTCTTCTAGAACTGACAATGTTACCTGGCTGGGTCATGAAACGTCTGCAAGAAAACCAGCTCAGAGAGCCACCGTCCTCCCCCTCCTCCTCCTCCACTCTGCTAACCCCACTCCCTTCTAGCGACCAAACAGAATATTTGCAGCTCAGAGTCCTTGGAGCTCACGGGGCAGAAATAGCCCAATCCTGCCAGCTCCTACTGTGCAGCCACCCCCACTACCCAAAACGGATCGTTTTTTGGACTCCCCTTCCCCAAATCCCTCAGAAGACCCCCCCGCTTCCCTACCGAGATCCGGTTCTTCGGCGTCAACATATTCGCAGTAGGTGGCGGCGCGCAGCTCTGAACTTTCGACCAGGTAGCCCTTCAGGTTGGTGATCATGTGCCGTATCTCCTGCAGCAGCTCGGTGCTGGTGGGGTGCCGGGAACGGGCTCCATGCTGGATGTGCTCCACAAAGTTCTGCACCAGGCCTCCCACGTCCGAGCTGGGCTCCTGGACCAGCTCTTGCACCCGCTTGGCCACCCGGCGTTCGAGCGAGAGGAAGCCGGTCAGGGCGCTGCTCACGGCCGAGAGGCGGTGGAGCACTTTGTGGGTGAAGGTGATGGAGGAGGGGCGCCGTCTCTTCTGTGGGGAGGGGGTGGCAGGAGGGAGACCCTCGCCCTCGTCCTCCACGCTGCTGATGGAGAGCGAGTCCAATTCCGGGATGAGAGGCAGCAACAGGGAGTCGTTCAACAACAAGGATTCGGACCGGGCCTTTTTCAAGCAGGGGAAAGCGTCGGCCGAGATCCCTTCCACCCAGGAAACACGGTGGGGAGAGCGGGTCTCCTTTCGGGATGCCG